ATTTAATTTGAATTTATAGATTATCCAACTTTCTTCTAGTTGCACCAGTTTAATATACACATTTGAAACAGTATTTGTCAATATTTTAAAAACTAGGTTTTTAGTTGCACTGGTTTAATGACCGATTTTTTGTTCAACCAATTTGACTATCTTTTTTTCGTTGCACCGGTTTAATTTGAATTTATAGATTATCCGACTTTCTTTTAGATCAAGTATTTTTCCTCTCGATGAGATCATTTGTAATTTTATAATTCAACAGTCACCATAATCAATCATACAATGAAGTCATTTAACACAAATTTATGTAAAATACACCTTTGAAACTGTATCGCCAATGTTTTAAAAACTGGGTTTTTAGTGGCACTAATTTAATGACCAATTTTTGGTTCAACAAATTTGACTATCGGTTCAACTGTCGCTCAACATCTAGGAGTGGTGTATGTTGGCTTTTGAGTTGCACACTCTGAATAAGCCAATCGATCGGGTTATTCAATTTTGTTTTAAATTTGTTTTTTTAATGGGCCAAGTGGAATTTAACTAGACAAATACAATAAACAAGTCAAACTGTTTTTTACGGATTTAATCACGCCAATTCAACCCGATTTTTAAAGAAACCGTTTGGTTCAATTCGGTCTACAACTTAACATTAAGTTGGTTGTTATTGAACCACCATCGTCCTTGATTTCTAGTCCGACCGGTTTTTAAAATACACTACTTGCGTGATCGGCATACATACTCATTGCCTTTAGTTTTATCTTTGATTTTTCTTACATGGTGGTTTGATTAAATGAATGATTACCTTACATAATAAATGAATTCAAAGCTATGCTTCAATCACCATGTTGTAAATTAATAGTTTTGTTTAATAACTTATAAAGCGAGAATAAATCAATTTAATTGTACCAAATCAGATTAAATAGTCAACTTAATTTAATATGGTTTTACAATTCTCATTTCTAACATCATAAAATCACATCCAGAATTAAATTGACTAAAATAGATAAAAACCACTTGTAAATAATTTGTACACAACCATACAAAAAAAAAAAAAAAATCTTTCTATCAAACATTAATATAACTTCTGAATTAGCTAAAAACATATAAGTGTAAAACGGTATCAAATATCTAATTTTTATTAAACGAATCAAAATTCAAATGACATAAAAATACGTACGAGCATAATAATTATTAATCTTTAACCTTTTTCAGCTATCATTCTTCTTTTTTTTTTTTTTTTTTTTTTTTTTTTTTTTTTTTTTTTTAACAGCAAGAAGAGTTATTATTGTATAAAGAGTCATCGACATGTAGCCAAATTAGTTGAAGAATTATTCAACCGTATTCTCTGACATGTAATATATGAGATAAAGAAAGAATGGGAAGTTGTTTAGTTGACTCAGGAAACTTAGGACACATTAATAAGAATCACGAGGGCAATCTTGCACTTTTTGCTTAGTAAGCTATGAGCTGGTTTCCTTACCACCCTATTTAAGTCGACCTTAATCCTAGCCAACTTCCAACACAAAATGGCTAGATTAACTTTCTTCATAGTGGCAATGCTTCATCTTCTCCTCCTCTTATCTCCTCCGGGCACCACACATAGTGGTGGCAACGCTATATTCTGTGGTGGTGGTGGTGGCGGTGGCGTTGCAGCTATGAGACCATTAGGAGAGAAAGGTGGAGAGTATGTTACATACAAGCCCAAGACAAGCGTGATAAATCAAGGCCAAGGTGTTGATGGTTGCTTGCCTAAAGGAATTCGACACAGTTCTGGTCCTAGCCGATATATTAATTATCGAACTCTTGGCTTGCCTAGCGCATGTTCCACAAATGCACCTGAACCATAACCTCAATTGTATTTGATAAATGACGAGTTACACATGTTGTGATTGTTGTCATACATTACAATATACTACATATATAAATTAAACATGTATACAAAAACGTAGTTTGTTTAATTTATAGTAATGTCTATACATGAAGTGTGTATATATATACAAAAATGTTATACCTAATACATGTAAATGCATAGTAGTTGGATCTATCAATAAAGATATTATATGTTATATGTACTATACTTGTTTTATGAATATATATATATATATATATATATATATATATATATATATATATATATATATATATATATATATATATATATATATATATATACATATGTTTTTAGTGTAGGAATAATCAAACAAGAAAATAGAATAGGTTGATGTTTGTGTTTAATATAGTGTCCTTAAAACAAATTCGTGTGCTATGAGATTTTTGTTATTCAGGATACAACAACTTTGAACGATTCTTTAAGATTGTCGAACATCACAACGGCTTGAATTTTACGTTTTATGTAGCAATAACAACTTATTAGAAGTAGTAGAAAGTGACATTTTTTTCTTTGAATTCTAGCCTCTAGTCTTTTAAATTGGTTTTAAAGTGGTGTTATTTATACTAGATATTTTCTAATCATCAAATTACGATTATTCACACCTTGGTTGTACATAGGTGTTATTTATACTAGACATTAAGTGCACCACGTAGATTCGTATGGTTATTCACATCTTGTTTGTAATCCTCGGCATCCCAGTCGCAAATTTGAAAGGCATAATCGATATTAAACATGTCATTGAAAGGTTCAATGAATCTCAAAAGATCTATGAATTTAAATTCATTTAAAACTTAAACTTTCTTTTTCGTTTTTCATGGTGGAAATTGGTAAATCGTCATTACCTACCTTCACATATTCTGCAACTAAATTACGGCATTCCTCTTCTAGATTGTAAAGTATTGTGTTCGATCCTAGCCTTAATATCACATTTGGGTGTTTTATTAAGGACTCGATCAATTTAACTTGAATTTTTTCTCGTTTTTATAGATTTCTAGTTCTGACAATCATGGTCTTCCTGAATTCTTTGAAAATGATATTCCATGATATGATCGAGGAACAAGAGATCATGTTTCACTTCCTCTACCTCCTCCAATTATTCTCTCTAACCCACAAGTTCGAAGGCTTGAAAAGTTCAAACTCACTCAAGCCCTTTTGACAAGTAAACACGAAGATGGGAAACCTGTGTGTACACACGTCTTAGAGATGAAGTCACACATTGACAGGTTAAGGATGATGAGTGTCGAGATTTCAAGTGAGTTGGATGTTGACTGGGTTCTTCACTCATTTCCTGAATCATATAATGAGTTCGTAAGAGAGTACTATATGATGGAACACGACGTGACCCTAATTGATCTCACTTATTTGCTTATAGCTGCTGAATCAGCAATGATTTGGCGTGCAATTCAAGCAAATTTGACTGGTGAGTCAAACTCCCAAGATTCAATGGATATTAGCAACATTGGAAGTCCAGAAAGGACTGAGCATGAGATTGTCCTATGTAATTTTCCAAAGGAGTCCATTTGCTTTTATTGCCAAGAGAAGGGGCATTGGAGACGAAGCTGCCTTGTTTACCTGAGAGATCTAAGAGATGGGAGAGTCAAGACGTATGGCTCTACTTCAAGTAAAATCCATTAACTAACTCTATAAGTTCCTATTTTTGGTTCTTAATACATGATGTAATAAGATTACATTTTGATGTTTTGTAGGATCGAAGAAAAGAAAGGAAACTTAAGGAAGAAGCGTGTTGAATCCGATCACGAATAAATGGATTTCGATCGCATGGATTCAAAGATCGGATTTTTGAGCTGTTGCTTTAGAGTTAGAGTAGATTGCTAAGAAATATGTAATAACATAGTTTTTCGGTTGAATTACATTGTAAGGACAAGTTTTTCCGCAATAAAATAAATTTTGAGTTTTATCATATTTATTTATCCTTACAATGGCGTGTATAAAAATATTGATGTTTGTGTATTTCTATTATTAGCAAATGGATTTGATTCTTAATTAGGTTATTTGTGGAAGTGTCGAGAGTTTACCAAATAGGGAGAGTTTCTCATCGCCCAAGTTTCAATTGGATGGAAACTTGGAATCATGCAACGTGTATTGTATGATGAATGAAAAACTTTCACATTTGGGAAATTTAGACTAATTTTTTGACAAAGTGTCAATTGAAGGACTATGAGATCAAGTACATTAGGTCGTATGTTGATCAAGTCTACCACAAGAGTAACAAATATATTCGTCATGATTTACTAAAGTTTAGTAAATATGGTTATACTTATAAGATTAAGTATAATTCCGAGTTGATTGAAAGAGTTTCAATTAATAGCAGAACAAAATAAGAAGAATCAAGTATGCAGAAAGACAAAAGTCTCTCTATTCTAAGAAGAAGGGAGAGTACCTTTTATTGTGTTTCTGATAAGTCTTAATGATTAATAACCATGTCTCAATTGATCCTCTAAGCGAGTCTTACACCCCGTTCCCGAGTTCAACTTAACGAGAGAAAGGAAAGGAAACGGGTGGAAATGAGAAGAAAATTAAAAAAAATTGGTGTTCCCGAGTTTCATTAAAGGAGGAAGTGGAGGGAAATAAGAGGATCACTTTCCCTCCTAACTTTCCTTCCGATTTGGGAGGATTTGGAAAGAAAGAACAAAATGATTCATTTTCCTTCCACTTCTCTCAAACTCGGGAACACAAAAGAAAATTTTATTTTCCTTTCCTTTCTCTTCTTTTCTCTCATGACTTTCTTTTCTCTTCTCTTCTTTTCTTTTGTTAAACTCGGGAACGAGGCGTTAGTGCAATTTCATGTCTAAGAAGAGGAATCGAGAATTGTAGAAATAGTTAAATCAAGAAGTCAATCATACTTCGTTCCAATATCAAGTCTTAGAGTCAAGATTGTGACTTAAGTAAAAGGTCTTAAGTAGGTTTGTAACACTTATCAAATGTAGAATAAGAAAGTTTCTTATTCTTGTACATTTGAAATTGGTAAGTTGTGATGTCTTGGATAAGACAAAGACCAACTAGGACCAATTGAGTGAAGTGTTAAGCTTGATAAGAAGCTACGCTAACTCTTGAATATTTGTTTTGTCAAGAAATGTTTCTGTCACACCCCCGAACCAGACGGCGGAAACGTCCGAGGGCTATTGTGACTCAATTGAATACCATCACCATGAATATACATGAAACATAACATCATACAATACCAAGCATTGGAAAATTACAACTGGTAGCGTTTACATTCGGTACATTGATCCATAATATTACATGCCCAAAAGTAAATTGTTCGGTACTAATTAAAACAACAACAAAACGTTACTGAGTACATTTCTTTTTCCTTTTCGATTTACCTGTTACCTGAGAATACAAGTATTTTGAAAAAAATGTCAACATATGAAATGTTGGTGAGTTCATAAGTATTGTTTGAAATAAAGTGGTTTGTATTGTTTTGAAAATCACCAGAAAATCCGATATTTTCTTAAAAGAACTTAGTATAAAAAGTGTGAAGATCCGTAAGTATGCTTGTTTGTTTCTATAAATGTAAAAGTACAATTTGTAAAACTCGGTATGTACTCGTAGGTGTGTTAATTGAAAACCCTAGGAAAACCCGGTGTTTTCCTAATATTTTGCATTAATGAGTTGTATCTTGTTATTTCATTACGACGGGTGTATTCGTTGAGTCCCGGTGACGTTGGATTAATTATAGGTTGTGAATTGTTATAAACACACATTAATGAAAATGACTAGTTTACAACCATGCAAACGATCCCTTAGGCGTCGCTCGCACTATTCACTTAATCCAATCACCCGGACTTCGTGTAGCCCCACAACCGAGGAGGAAAAGAGGGTGCGAAGTCCCGATATTTTCCGTAAGTCGTTCAAGGCTATCGTGAATGCGAAGGGCCCTTAGCCCGACTCGTATTTGGTGAATTCTCGACTTTACTAGCAGCACCAGAAGGCCCTTGGGGTCCAATAGCGCAAAGCCTGTAAAAGTCCTTTTACACGAAATTAGGTCATATAAGACCCATTTACATGTAAGCGAGTTTCCTTCGGGCCTAAAGATCATGCCATTGGGCTAGCTAGGCCCAACAACCACGATTTGAAACTTTTGAGCCCAAAGACGGTGTACCGACGACTGGTGTATTCTCACGTGTGTATTGACTTCCCGAAATTTCCGCGTGTGTATTGAAGTTTCGTCGTGTTAGTAATTTCGGATTCGCTATTGATTCGAGACCTAATCAATTCGTTTGATAACGATTTTTGGTGTTGAAGGTGTATTATAATTTGCCGATAGTCGAGGTGCTAGTATTTCATCATGACGGATTTATTTCTTAAAGCATTAGGATGTTTCATTATTGCAGCCCCTTTCCTTTAGATAATTTACACATTTAACCCTTTGTATAAAATAAATTTCTATTTTAGTCCTCAAACCATTTTTCTTGACACTTTAGCATCCAAACTTGTGGAAAAGTTATTTTTCAGCCCAAAGTTATTTGAAAAACAGTTTTAGTCCACCAAATGAAAATTTTCTCGTCTAAAACCCTTATTTTCGCAATTTTTACACTTTGGGCCCAAAATAGAAATTTTTTGCATCTTTGGTCCCTTTTAAATATGAAAAGCATTTTTAACCCTTGAAATGGACTTAGAGCACAAGTAGTCCCCTGTTTTACAAAAAAATACAGTTTCAACCCCTCTAAATTGAAAATCTCGCATATTGGGCTTTATTGGGCCGAAAAATTCATTTTTGGCCCATTATGCTTAAAATTTTCACATTTAATCCTACAAAGAGAGTATTTCCAGAAAAATACCTTATTGAAACTGTTTTGACTCATTTCATCCATCAGAATTTGTATTTTGTCATTTTGGGCCCTTTAACTTCATATTTTTAACATTTTGAGTCCAAAAATGAGATTTTTAGCCCAATGAGTTCATTTTAACCAACTTGGTTATTTTTCTAGA